CCAACTTTGTGCCATCTGCAAACTTGCGGATGGTTGATGTTTCTAAGCATTTAAATAATCTCCTGAATCAAGATGTTTATTGCCAAGGATTTAAAATGTCTGCTTAAATCACAAATTATTTTCTCTAATAATAAAATTATTTTTGTTGATGTATTTGAACAGGCTTTTTAACTGGTAGTTTATACCAAAAATACATTAAAATGAAATTGTATTTGATGTTTAAAATACTGTGTTTGAAAGAAATGGAGTGGAACTAGAACTGCCACATGAAATTGTGATTGCTCTAAGCAACCATCCTAGAAAGGAAAGGGTTAGCCAAGGGTTAGTCTGTAAGTGTAGGCATATGAATCACCTCATTCATGTGACCAGGTGTTTGAGGCAATGGATGCTCAAAGGATTTATTTAAATAGTCTGTAGCCTGGCCAAGTTTTTGCAAACTCACTATTGATTTTGGATTACTATTTTTTTGGCTGCTCAGTTTGGAATCAATGGAAGAAACTTACACCTGTTCCACAGTTTTTTATATCCAGGCACCTTTGTACATCTCAAATTGGACATGCAGAAATGCGAGTAGACATCAAAAATTTCAGATTTTCTTATGTCATTCAGGGCAGTTTAGGAATTTGAAATTTAGCACATTTACTGGGTGGCATTAAGGCTTTCACATTAGAGAAAGCTATTGTAACATATTACATCAATTTATCATTGGAACAGGCTATGAAAAGACAAATCCAATGGTTGTGTGGGGTTTCTTCAGTTTCAAAAAAATGAGTGCAACTGTGGTTTGTAAGTTAGGTATAGATCAGAGGTACAGCTGCCCAAGTCTCCCTAAATGTTGTCAAACTATGTTTGCCCTTTATTTCAAGTAGGAGTTGCAGTGCTGTGGAGAAAATGAGCACAAAACCAGTGAACATATGCCAAATGCCTGAGAAATAAATGACACTGAAAAATTCAAGGCATGTCCACTCCATTCTATTGCTTTGAAAACAAGCAGCTCTTGAAAATATATGAAAGATAAGAATGCTATCTTTGTTTCTGAAGGTTGAGAAAAGAAGGATTAGTGCAACTTGGACAGTTTAAACACTTACAAAGAAGTCTGGTAAAATTATGGTGTCACATTCCTATTTTTTTACTCAGTGGAGTAATTGAAAGGATCTTTTCTTTGCACTACGTTTTCTCATTATTTCCTGGTTCTGAAATCATACATACTTTTTTCATATTTTTCATTTTTGGGGATGCATGTAGGGTTATGGAACCCTGATGGAGTTGGAAGCTCAAGAACTGATAAAAATTAAAAATATATACAAGCCAGTTCACAAGAACTACAGAAAATTGACTGTACTGGTACAAGGACTTTAGACTGTATTTCCTGAGTTTTCTACTTTGATAGTCCTGACCATGACAAATGCAAAACAGGATTCTGGAATCATGACTTGTTAAAGCACTGCTCTGTTGATCAAACCCCCACAATTATTTTACCTTCACATAACTGCTCTGGCAGCTTCCATTGCTGTCTGGAATCTGGAAGTTACTGTGGAAGTTCATCTCCAAGTGTTTGCTTTCATGTGTAATGATGGTCCATGTGCATCTGGTGTTCATGGGAAAGTTTTGAGGCCAATGAGGGGACCTGATCGTACCATTATCTGCATGAATGATTCCACCACAGCCTGGAAAACAGCAACAGGTGGGAGAAATGTGCAAATATTTTTAGTTAGTGTCAGCTTTGAACTGCTTCTTGCTTCTGTGACTGCAAGAGTGAGAGAGGAAAGCCCTGACACCCTTCATTTACCTCTCTTTTAAGCAATTTTCCTTCTCTCGTCCCTACAGCAAGGGGGTAGTTACACTCTAGAGACAGTCTCTCTTTGTACTTTATTTTATTCACAAGTTTCTTCTTGCCAGTTCAAACCCTTTTGCTCCAGTCCATCTATATACCCTTGGTAATTTGAAGTGAGTATTGCAGAGAGAGAGTAAGGCTCAGGAATACAGTAATGAGGAGCTTCTCCTGAGACTGTGAAGGTTCCTTCCCACAGCCCACAGCATGCACATCACGACAGACAGCCATTCAGAAAAGCACTCTAGGGAATAAAACCCAATCTACTGTTGAATCCTTTTTTCTTCTCACTATTCAACATGCAAATATTGTGGTTCCACATATGAATCCACTCATGCTACATCTGTTTACCCAGGGCAAAATGGTGACTTCTCCAGACCAGGCAGCCTTGTGGATCTCAGTGGGATTATGGAGGGCTGAAAAACATGCCTTTAAAAATGCTAACAGATTCATTTATAAAGGGGAATAGCTGTTCATGGCTCTGTGGCAGCTCATGCTTTTATGCATAATAAGTTCAGTTAATTTGAAACATGCTTGCAAATACCATGCCAAGAATAATTTACTAGGGCTATGTGTACAGTACTAGCAGCCCCTTATTATTTCAGAGATGATGTAGTAAAAGGATTAATAAATAGCAAAAAAAATGTTTATAACATTCTACATTTTTCCTCTTAAAGTATCTTTTTAAAACATAATAGCTTTAAAAAGAATATTTTTATTTTTCATTCTTCTACATTAAAAATAGCAATTGTGTTTAGAAGGAGGTGAAACCAAGCTTTGGTCACACATATGAAATGTAAACTCAGACATTCTCAGTGAACAAATGAGAAGAAAGCCAAAGAAAGGAAAAGGTATACCAAAAAAAGAAACCTCCTTTCACAGAGGGAATACAGCCTATGCACATTGCATGTGTAGATTCATGTCTATTACATCACTTGTGCACTTCCTTGCACAAGAAATCTCAGTGACAAGAGGGAACAGTGTCAAAACCTGCTTAAGTGACAGTGTATACTCATGCAGGCACAGACTGTTGATATGTTTAAGAAGACACTCCATCAACTGACTATGTGAATACTGCTATGTCGTTAATGGGTGGAAAGCTGATCACCATCACTCAGAAGGTTTGCAGCTGGAGGTGACCCTAGGGAGCACATGGCCAGCTCTGTACTGAAGTAGGAAGGCACAGTGATTTCTGTCCTGCCACCATCTGCCACAGCTACATTTGCCTTTAGTCCTTTTGTGATTTCTTGAAGCACACTGTGCAAGTGGTGAGCTACCTTAATTTTTTTTCGCAATCCAGAGATAATTTCAGTAGCTTTAAAAAAATAGACCATTCAATCCTGCATGTATATCACCTTCAAAAGAATACCAACATCACCACTGCAGTGGAAGAGTTTTTGGCTGTTGTCATATGTGCTCTTAAAGAAGTTCTGTCTGCCTCTCTGTTTTGAAAGTGACCTCTTCCTAGTTTTAAGTGTTTAAACAAATCAAACTGTGGAACAATTGTTATTCATGAAATGAAATGTCTCATAGACATTGACAATAAATACCACTGCCTGGAGAGTAATGGCCATAGTATCAATTTACAGCCATCAAGAAACTGCCAGTGGGAGACTTTAAAAGTACAAAATTGGTCCAAATTTTATTTCATTGTGTGAGATCAGATGTGACTGGTCTAATACTTCAGTTTTTTTAGTGCTGGCTTCTTTCATGGATGCTGAAGATGTTGAAATGTATCTCTTTTGTAATGGAAACTTACCTAAAGATTCTGCTGTCCATGTTGCATAAAAGCCACCTCCTTGAATTGAGTGATCAGAGTTAAAGATGACAACCAGCTTGTTGGAACCAGACCGAATAGTCCCAGGAGATGTGTTTCCACAATACTTTCCTATGACAGGAGATCCTGGAGAGCCACCATTCAGGATGGTAACAGAATCCCACTTACAAAGTGAGTGATTTTCAACGTGGAAGGCTGTAAAAGTAAGCTGCAACACACAAAAGTGACATTCAGGTGCTAAAACCAGCCACACTGGGGAGGGGTTAGAGCAATTCCAGCCAGATCCTAGTGCCATCCTGGCACAGTGAATTCTGGGTGTACTCAGGAATCCAACCCTCACTTATGATGCTTTCCTGCAAGTGTTACTTGGAATCTTGCCACTACAAGTAACAGCAGCTACGTATCTTGGGGACAGAAATGAAAGAAGAACACATAGGTTCAAAACTGGCATTATTGGGACTTAACCACATGTTTGAAGCTAAATATGTGCTTAAAACAGACTAATATGCAAAGGTGTTGAACTGCTTTCCTTCACTCAAGGCTTCTGGTCATGAAATACAAGTTTCTATGTAAGCAGAAATACTTGGACTTTTTTTCTTCCTATTATTTTGAATTAGAATGCAAACAATAGCTAAAAATAATGCTGGTTTCCATTAAATCTGAAACAGTTCCATGGTTCATTCCTGTGGCCCTGGATGCATCGCATAAATAGACCGAGCTGGGCAGGCAGGTTCTGACCGTATCCCTCCCAGACTGATGCCATTTGTCCTTGGAGTGGTACGCACACAGGTGAGATTTCCAGTTCAAAGATTTAGATTGCTGATCTAGTAGACTCCTGGTTTTGTTTATGCTGAAATATTGATGTGCACTAATTACTGCCTGGCCCTGTTCCAAGAAGGTGTTTTTTTTCCCCCAGTTCTGGGAGCAGGATCTTTGTGGAAAAGTTTCGCAAATACATAGTATTCTTCCTGTACCTTTTATGCATATATTCATTTCCAAAAGAACTCTGCCTGAGGCAAAGACCAAATACAAATTTAGCTCAAATGTTTTAAATTCAGAACTTTACCAGCAGCTGAAATTGGCAGCTTATACTGGAAAAATTAGTCTGCCTTCATTGAGGGGGCTGCTGCTCTGTCCTTTCAAAACAGAAATCTACTTCTGTCTGGTTAAGATTAGTTCTGCTTTAAACAAGTTTGTGGATTAAATAGAAATTCTGTGTTCTACTAAAATAATCCTGTGCTCCCAGAATACCTAGGCAGTGGTCAGAATATCAACAGCAGAATAATTAGGACTATGGGTTTGCATTTCTAAGAAATACTTCTGTACTTGTAAATAAGGAAAACAGGATAGGGAAACTAGTGGGAGATGTATATAAAAACCTGCAATGTATTTTTACAAAATTGTTTTTCGGATATTTTTTCTGACATGGTCCATAAATGTCACTGGTTGGACCTGTTCTTGAATGGATCAGTCAAATAATGCAGTGAGTGAAGTTTTGCAAGACTTGGTCATAAAGGTGGTTAAATCGGTCTCTCAGGAGTTTGACTCAAGAAAGTAGCACCTTGTTTATTAGTGATTGGTAAATAAGAACAGCATCTCATTGATGTAATTTGTACCAGTGATCATATTATCTTCCAGACTAACCAGTAAGATACAAAAGTAACTTTCTACTTGGCTTGTAACTTCTCTGCAGAGAAGAAAAACCTTCAGCCTCACGTTTATTCTCATGATAGTGAGAATATCCATGCGCATCTAATAAAATGAGTTATTTTAGTTTACTAAACATACGTAGAAAGTCATTGTTTAAAGGAGAAGTTAGTGCTATCTTTTGAGGTCAATTTATACTAGGATCCTTCTGCTTTCCAAAAAGCACAATCTAGTTTGGTTGTGTTATCTTCATTCCCTCTCTTAGGTAAGATCATGGGGAAGTATTTCATTCCTCCACATTTCTGATTTTCTAAATCATCTCAGACCTGTTCCTCAAGACTCAGAAGGTGCTTCTCACGCTGTCAGCTCTGCACACAATCATGGCATTATATTACTCACAGTGATAGTTTGACCCTCAGGGGCTTCCAACAACCAGGAGCAGCGATTCAGATTGCTGTAAGGCTCTGGGTAGTTAGGGCTTGAGATAACTCCATTTTCACCTGACTGTATACCACCACAGGCTGAATTGAAAAAAAAAAAAAGTAACATTTCAATACATTTTAGTAACTGAACACTATAATCAAATGAATGGAAGATTATTCAGCTTGTTATAGCACTAAAATATATTTAAGTTGGAGTGATACAGTTAAGGATGAACAATTTATCTGGGAAAATCCGAGCTTTAAAATCTTTGTCATTGAATAGTGAGTACACAGATGCAATGGCCTTGGAACTCTGCATATATTCTGATACTTAATATAGCTCTGCAAAACCTTTGCCAACTGACACAGCTGCCTCCTCCACCTTACCTTCCATTTATTTATCTCAGTCTCTTAAGCAAACCAGTGCCATTCTTGGACCAACACAATCAAGTAAAAAAGTTGCTGATGTGTCTAGATAAGCCCCAAGGCTAAATTCAGCTGTGACAGGATGAGTAGTTGTGCTGGCACATAAATGGCAAAGTGGTGTAATTTGCACTGATACACCTTTAAGTGGATTTCAAAATGAGTGTGAAGGTTCAAGTACCAGAATGCATTTCAGCTATGCTAACACTCCAGAGGTCTATTTGAAGTAATTCAAACTTGGCTGGTGTTACCTGTTACATGCCTATTCCCAAGAGCAACCAGCTGTTCTGAGTGTTGCACAGCATTGCAAAACCTCAAATGCAGTTCAGGGAATGGGAACAGTGTGGCAGAAAATAAATCTGAAAGTTCAACTGCTAGCACATTTGCTTTACGAGCATATAAATAGAGGCAGGCACTGTATGACTTTTGAGGACCTCTTTGAGAACTGATCCCACAATGTGTATTCTCAGTATCACCAAATGAATGGCAGAAGTGCCTCAGTCAGCAAAGGCAGAAGTCTGTCAAGCCATTTACCTTCAAATGTGTAATGGGCCATGAATCCTTTATCTTCTGTGTTTTCATCACTTATGAAGTGTACCCAGATCTGGGGAACAGCTATGACTAGAGGCAAAGATGGTGCAGCCTGACCACAAAGTCTGGCTATTAGCTCTCCGTCAGCATCCCCTAAGTAAAGAAAGAAAGAAAAAAGCACAACACTATTTGAATGCTAAAAGAGCTACACTAGCATAAAGGAATAGGGCAAACATGCATTTCAATGCGTTTTGACTAAAATTTGAGAAAAGTACATATCACACTTAGTAACTGATTATTTGTAATGGGCATAAGTATAGTGTTTTGGGATTAGAGATTGCTGGGATCCAAATCTTGGCAGGTTTCTCCAAAGCTATATTAATGATCCTTTTAATACCTCAGGCTCCTTCTCTCCCCCTCCTTCCATCCTGCACACTTTCATTTCATATGTCACATCAGACTCAAAAAGCTCACTGTTCTGCCCCAAAACTACAGACTTTTGGGGGCAGAACAGCGGGAAGAGATAGCCCAAAGACCAGACCACGTGGAAACCTATTCAGCCTTTAGTTTTGTGACATCCTCATTAAAGTCAACAGGGATTTTGTGGGGTTTTTTACCATATAGGGATGTGCATCATCCACAAACGAGTCATCATTGCGGTATTAATAGTGGGCATCTCTTTGCTAGGGAGCTCAATGTATGGTTCTCTGTATGGCAAAAAAAATACCAGCATTTGTTCAAATCCTTAAAACTTAAATGGAAGGCACAGCACAGGTCACTGTACTATTGTGACACTGAGTGTTTGCTCAGTTGGTCTTATCCATCACATTGGTAAAAGTATCAGTTTCTGTTTATTGCTGATAAATTCTCAGCAGAAATAAAATAAGTGTAATAGCATTCCTCATGTCATCCAGGCAATGCCATTCCTAAATTCAGTTCTCTAAGCATAGCAGGCTACTGGTCTTAAAAGTCCCCACTCGAAAGCAACTCCTAGTTCCACACAATGTGGCAAGCTGTTATAGTGAAGAAGGCAGTAGAGCAAGAAGGAGAAATTTTGGGTGCTCTTCAAAGCCTCACAGTTAGAAATTCTAAGTCACATGGTCAAGTAACTTCATCTTTCTGTCATATATGATGACACAGTCACCATTTGAAGTGCCTTGAAGTGCAAGAATAAAAGTGACATAGAATAAAATTCTATTAATGCAAATTACAGAGAGAAATGCTGCAAACTGTCTTGAGAACATGCTAAAAATGGTACTGAGCTGTACAAGCAGAAGACATTTATGATAAATTATGGTTCAGCAAAAACTAATAAGTACTTTGAGCATGTGAATTGTACATTTTCTTTTTTTCACTTCTTACAAGGTGATTGACTATGTGACAGATGGGACCCAGGTTACTCAGCCTCTACAGTGTGAAAAGTGACACCAATCATTGCTTTCATGAATGGCCAGAGATCTAGACTGTTGATAAACAGAAAATGTAAACAGAAATATTGTGCTGTAAGATTTCATTCAAACTGAAGGGAATGGTCTGAAAGACAAAGTCAAGAGTCTTCCACAAAAGCCAAAAGTTAGGAGTATATTTCACTGTACCAATATGTTCTGCTGTATTACCATGTACAGACTACATGCACGTGCCTGATAATTTAATAACTCAATATAAACCCTTATCCTAAGAAATTTGAAATATTTATTTTATCTATTTAGCTTAAATATTGCTCAGCGAATATATACAGTCAATTCTGCTTGTTTGCTGTGGTTTTTTTCATTGAGTACCACAAAGCATGTTGTATGGGTATCACAAAAACATTTTGTACATCTCAGATTCATGTGGGGTCTCTCAGGTAACTTACTGTTGAATTGGGCCTTTCCCAAGTACACATCTGCTGTGTCGAGAATCATAAACAGTATCTGCCTGAGTTTAGTGATATTCTGCAGAATTTACATCTCAGTGCTCATTAAATGTTCTTTGTCAGCCTACACAGATGAATTAGGGCATTCTGCTTTTGACACAAGACTAGTTATGAAACTGAAATTCCAGTAGTATGGCCAAAATGAACATTACTGTTTAGATGACAAAACTGTGCAGAGCTAAATGAGACTATATTTTCTCCCCTTTTCATGGGTCATATTGCTGGGAGGCCTGAGGTCCACAACAAAGAGAGTAGTGGGAAAGGATGAGTAACCAAGCAGATACATTTGATTCTTTCTTTCTCTCAGTTTTCTTTCTATTATTTCCCAGCTCCAGTGTATGCATGTGGGAGAACTGCTAGGCTACATAGCTACGTATGCCTTGGCTCCTCAAAGGACAAACCGATGCTATACAACCAGAAGTTCCTGCTCAAATGATTGTAAATAAGGATGTAGCAGATTTCCACTCTCAACCTTTCTACATCTTTCAGAAATTACTTCCTGGTAAATTAGAACCTGCTCTCTCTGGGACTCACAGACAGAGCTCTCAGTGAAGAAGACAGCTGCAGCTTTCATACTACACTTAGCATTAACTGAGTGACTTTCATATGACATTCCCAGTTGCTTGTTCTTGTAGATAGCTAAAGATGCTCAAATATGCAGATATATTACTGGTGCATTAACCCTGTGATTTTTTTCCCTTTTAAATGCTTTAGTCTGTATTTTGTGATGCAGTCTCACAGGAAATATGGATTGCTTCTTGGAGAATCATCTTATAGAGTACAAACACGGGATATGAAGTGGGTGTGCAGCCCAGAGGCTATG